TAAAGGGATCGCGAGTATTGATTCGCAAGAACGTGTCTCAAATGTTTATTATCGGTATTAATAAATGGGGGCAGATGTTCGCCGCCGTCGGGCTCTTCTTGCGACTTCGAGACTCAATTAATAAAAATCAAATACGTTACATTTATCTTTACGTCGTCATTGTTTATTAGTGAAGTTTCAATTTGTTCTCCAACTGTATTTTATGTCAACGGCTTTTACTTTCTTTCCATTTCAAATGCTGGCAGCTACCTCGGACAAAGAATTAGTTTAGCTATTCAAAGGGGAACCGCTACCAGTATCTTCGGAACCTTGCCTAAAGGGACTCCTTTTAATAATATTTTTAGTAAATTATTTTTTAATATTTTATTTAATATTATAGTTTTAAGACTTTTCATGTAAAAATTAAATTTATTTGCACCTAAGACGGATTAAAAGTATTTCAAATTCTTACAAGTAAAATGTATTTGTCTATGAATGGATACTGCACCTTATTTTTCAATAAATTCTTTTTATATTTTTCCTACAAAATATCTCATTATGAGCATCATCAATATCGCTTTCTCGTTTATAAAAAAATCATGCTATAAATTGTGCACATAAATCATACATAGGTATTGTTAAAAAATAAATTCTATATCCTGAAATACAAAAATACCAGTTATTGTTTTTGTGAATTTATCAAGTAAACACCAAAAACGGATTTAATTTCCAATCATTAATAATATTATAAGTTAAATTCAACAGTTTACGTTGTAAAGGATCGAGTTATGTAAAACTAGCAAAGTAATAAAAAGACAAAAAGTATCATACATAAAAGATGTACTACAAGAAATGTTAACAACAATAATGTACACTTAAATGCCTACTAAAAGCACTAGAACAAGATAAACGAGATGATTCCATATTAATATTCAATAACCGGATTGCCTAGAATAACAAGTAAGGACTAAGGGACAGCCAATCGCATTATGGAGACGAGGTCAGTTGGTCTGGAAGGCGGTGTCTCACTATGAAGCCTGAATGCCTTGACAACCGACATGCTTGACATGGTCCGATGATTCGTTTTTTATAACATCCATTTAATACCTATGTCCACGTCTGGAAATGTTTATTTAGTATCTTACAAAGATTATACAGGTCTACTAGTTTCAAAAAGGTTGCAACAAACGATTCTTCTAATAAAAGCTATCGTAAAATAGAATTAAATAAAACAAAATTATAGAGTTCGTTCTGAATAATTTTTCTTAACATTGGAATATCTGATACAAAAATAATAAAATAACTTTCTTGGCTATTATTCTATTGCAAAGCTTCAAAATATTAATCTAATCTCACTTTGCTTCAGTGCATTCATTTTAAAGATTTAAAAACATTACGGCATCACTGAAAAAGTAGAAAGTCTTACAACATTATAAAAGTGCCATAAAATGAAACGATAATAGTTTCGCATCAAAGTGGCCGCGGCTTGAAGGTTTGCTTCACAAAATGTGAATGGAACTGGACCGACAAAGCGGCTATGTGGCATCAGCTATCCCCGGACCGACGCGCTTTCAAATAATCAGGTAATTGTGCACCCTTAACGAGACACGGGGACGATTGAAGTTCCACCAATCTACGCTTTTTTAACGCATAACGACAGTTACATGGAGCCCCGTAACAAAAGTGCTTTTACTAAATCAGGTCATTAATAATTATTGTAGCTAAACTAAGTGATTTAATTTATATACTTTATATCAGCTAAGATTTGTTGTGAACTAGAAGCCTAACTAAACACTAAATCATCTTTTTATGTATAATTTTTTTCTTAATGTACAAAATATCCAACCGGGTAAATAACAAGAAGATATCGCATATTGTAAAGGAACGTCTTTGAATTTTTAATTCATATATTTAGTAAAATTGGGTAAATTTATGATAACCAATTCTCATATATAATGCGATCAGTTTCGTTTAGCAAAAAGGTTCAATTACGTAAACAAAAGTTTCCCAATATAAAATGAATATTGAGTTTGCATTGAGCATGCATATTATGCATATTACGATGTAATAAGCCTGCATTTGTCGATAAATATTTTGCTTTCATTACCATACGGGACCACACGCAGCGCACGCGCGCATGTCGTCCTAACTGCCGCATATATTCCGATTTGATGGCGGCTTTTGACGAGCTTAAGCCTTCTTTATCTCGTTGAAAGCGGTTCGATTAATTCTTGATTAAAATAATTAGCCATTGCGCGCGGATATCGAGGAATATTGGCTGTCGTGACAACATCGCGCGACATGTGCCGCTGTTGATAATATCTAAAGGAATTTCATTAAAATAAGCTTTCGTTCTTGTATTTATTTGCGTAAAGTTTACGTATTTATACGGTAATTTTTTTCCATGACGAGGAGTTACGGATTGCGAACCTTTTAATACCCACTTTAACTTTAATTTTATACAATAAACATTGTAAAAGGCAATCGTAGTCGAGACACTAGAGGAATCACCTAAAACTTACATATTTTCTTTGCAACCGCCAATTACATAATTATTTTGTTCATGGATATCAGAATTTACTAGCTGTCGTCCGTGACTCCGTTCACACGAAAAAATAACCTAATTAGTATCCGATGTATTCTTGCAGACTATGTTCTGCATCTATACCAAATTTTACTAATTAAATTATTGTCCAAAAACTACTTGAAGGTCGGCATTTGTGATTTGGTCATGAACGGTAAGTCAGTTAAGACAACCGGTCGATCTCTGAGCATTCACATTAATGTCCTGTAATTATACTTCGCTTAAGATACGCTGATGAAAGTTAAATTACTCCGAGTGCAAAGTCAAAATTACAAATATATGACACTTAATATGTAACATGATTCTATTGTATGTACTTTAATAATTGATTTAGAAAGAAATTTTATATGAAAGCAGTAACCTTAAATTTTGTTTCCATAAGAAACTGATTTTTTTAACAGAAAGTGTAGACAGTTCTTAATGACTCGTATCAAGAAATCGTTGATGTCTTTTGTATGGTGTTAATTAGTAGACAATTGAAATATCGAATATATTTTTTTAAATTTCTTAAAACAACTTTTTTATATGCATTTTGTTGCTAAATGATACATTTGTTCATTTTCAGTAAATGATCATTGTTTTACGTTCAAATATAATAATAATAAATAATAACCTAAAACTTCAAATTTCATTTGAACAGGTGAATAATCGATTGAAATGTATGTACGTACAAAAAGATAAATTTATTGAAAATTAACAACTCTTCCCACAACACAATAGCGCAGATGACAAACAGTGTGGGAGCAAACTCGGTAACAATTGACCACCTCACAAGCTTCCGCCTTTTGTGCGATCAAGCGATGAATGGATCGGACAGACATGAGTCCATGGGAGGTTAATGCATAAGCCTTTTTACCGTGGGAATTGCAGTGTCCTACTGGAGTCGTCAGGATATCAATATACCCTTATTCTACATTCAAATGTAGTTATTACCAGCATTTTCACTATTACAAGATTATTAAAGAACAAGATTAAATTGGGCTATTTAAATAAATAAATCAAGCACATATTAAGGCAAGTTATTTAACATATCTTATTATATTTAAAGTATGTTCTATATCCGATTTTTCGAACTTAAAATGAATTGCCGATTTATTCATTATAAATTCACTAACATTCTTAAAGTCAGGCGTCTTTCGGTAAAATTCGCCGTAAACACAACTGCATTTATTATTTTATTGAGCACATTAAGGGCAAGGGAAATAGCATCCATTAAGAGATCACGTGACCTCTCTGTAACGACCGGCACATTCCCTTTGATCATATTCGTTTTTTTGTTTTTTCACGTTTTCTAAGGAATTTTTTAGACGTGGGTACAGAATGTTTAAATTAAACTTAACGAAGTTAAAAAAATGCATAGACCGCGATAATTTCTTAAATTTCTCTTATTGAGCGCTTGCACTATAAATTGCAAAAGCATGTAACCGTAATTCCACTATGAAATTAAATCGAGCATAGGGTTGTCAAAAAATCTATTCAGTTTTAATAAAAAAAATCTCAATGAAATTTAAATCATTATTACACTTGTGCGTTAGTTATTAATGGGCTAATCATGAATATGCATAAACCTTTTTGCATATTCGAAATCTTGTATTGATTGTATTGAATGGAATAACAAAGGATAGTTAACCCTTTAACTGATAACCCTTCTACAGGTACAATGAATGATCGAATTTATCGACTTGAAGGTCATTATAAAAATGAATATGCAAAAGTAGACAATTAGAATAATGAATAATGTCTTTGGTTACGTAAAGTCATCTCTCTGTCATCAATTTCACGTAGAATTTTTTTTTATATCTTGCACACCCATTTTATTGAAGGGTTAAGAAAGGGTGAAGTGTTCAATAGATATTGGCACCTGGATAAATTAGTTTTTTTTTACGATATTACTATTATTTTCAATGTATTTAACAGTTTAACTTTTGCTAAGAATATAAACCTTTTGTAGTTGTCATATTTCTTGGCGCCTTTTAACTTTGCGCAAATCGCTGCGCAAAAAACATTGAAGGTGTAATGTAACGGAGGGTAGGTAGCGGAGAGAGGGCACTGAGCAGCTCGTCGATGACTTCAGGCCATTAAGATATTTGAAGAGTAATATTATACGTATATACGCCATTTCACTCGCGTTCCGTTATTTCCTGCTAAGGTATCGTGGTAACATTTATATAACCTATGTCTCTGATGTCGTCTCTGCCTACCCCTTTTGGTTACGGACATGAGTTTTGTTGTTGTAATTATGAATTATTCTAATAATTGTCCTGTTAAATGCAAAAAAATAAAATGAAATAGGTATCGTAGCTGTTTTTTTTTTATAACAAAAACTATAGTTATTTCAAAAATTTTATTGATGTTGGTGTTAAATAATTAGGCTATAATTAATTTCGAACAAGGATGTACCAAATGGGGCAGTTTATAAAGAAAATGAAACAAAAAATAACTTGATAATATTTTATTAATTCAAATAGCAAAATACAACGCCGAATTTGTTCAGACTTTTAAATTTACATAGAGTATAAGCAAAATATTTTTTTTTAAATGCAAAACAAACTTAACATCTAAAGTTTTGAGATCCAGTCTTGTAGAGCCTTTATGTCAGTAGGGTTGTCATCATCGGCCGTGTTAGCCGAGCACTCGGCTATATCAACACGACAGCCGAGATGAGAGAACTCAAAGTCTTTGCCAAGTTTGCCGAGGTATGCAGAACTGGTTGACTGGTTCGAGTCTACTGATTGCAACTGATTGGATTTTGTCACACGTACCAAATTACTGAAACAAGTTATATGTTTTAAATACAGTATGTTCTTTTCTTTCCTAATATTATAAATGCGAAAATTTAGATCGAAGGATGGAAGATATCTCCAGAACAGCTGAACGGATCACAATGAAATTTGATATACATATAGAACATAGTCTGGAATAACACATAGGCTAAAAATTATGTTTCTCATTAGATTCCGCGCGAGCGGAGTCGCGGGCGACAGCTAGTGATTGCTATTTATAACAATTTCATTCTTCTGTATTCCTTTTTTTGTTGTTTCTCCGATTGCTTAAAATGAAATTGAAACCTAAGGGTACATTGCAGCTTTACCCTACTTTATATCCTTAAAAAGAGTTATTTTTGGACCTTTAATTAATTACCTTTTTGATAGTTGCAGTAATGATTTAACAATAAGTGTCTTTTCACATTACTTGTTTTAAAAATTAAAAAAAAAAACCTAGCATACTAACAGTTCTTTTTCCAGTAAGCTCTTTATAACCTGACTTCCTTTTGCCATTGGTTGATCCTGTTTGTTACATAGGATCAGGAGAGGAGGGCAGTTGCTCTGAATAACAGGGTCCAAAAGAATTGTATACAAATATCTGGAAAATAGACAATAATGTTAGATAAAAAAAAACTATTATGAGTTTCCACTGTCAAAACATCGCACAAAAATAAATATATTATATAATGATACATATAGCTCTTTATTATTACATATTTATGTTTTATAAATTTGCCCTGAATACAAAACCCGTGAATACAGAATGGTAATTTATATAGGATTATAGGGGATACATTTCTATGTAAAAAAAATACAAAAGGGTTAATCAAGACAAAACAATGACAAACTTTACTCTATATTACAGATATCTTACTAATATTATAAATGTTAATGTTTGGATGGATGGAATTTTATTAGAAGGTATCTCCAGAACAGCTGAGCGGATCCAGCTCAAATTTAGCATAGATGTATATTGTAGCCAAAGTGTAAACACATAGGCTACTAATTTAGGTTTTTAAATGTGCGCAGACTGTGTTGCAGTGTTGTTGTTGATGTATTCTTTGTTAACTTACTCAGCAACATCTCGTATCTCCTTTTGTATGGTCACAGAGTCAACAACATACACAATACCCTTTGCACTGTTCTTGTACTGGTCAAAAAATTTATTTCTTAGCCTCTCCTGTCCTGGCAAATCTACAATCTTCAATGTTTTCTGAAAATAGAGAAATAAGATATTTACACTCAATCCAAAACTACAAAATTGTCTTAGTACATATTTCATTCCACACAGATTTTCCTCATTGCTATTTTTTTATCTATACTATCATCAATATCATCATCAGCTCACTATATGTCCCTAGTGAGGGGCTCGGAGCCGACTCTAAGTTAAGGTTGATTGGGCCATAGTCAACCACGCTGACCAAGTGCCAATCTATACTATCATTTGTATAAATATGTGTAAAAATGAGAACTAAACTTTTCAGGCTAAAATAATTTTATAATGATTGCAAAGTGTTAGGTAAACTTACATTAGAAGTGAAATAATCCTCAACATTTTCTCTCATGGAAGTAAATGTCTGTCTATACTGTGAGTATGCCAACCTCACAAACAGCAAAGTTTTACCGGAATCCGACAAACCTGTGAGAAGAACTGATCTACGCAGATGGCGGCGACGGGAGAAACACCACCAGAATACTGTAAAAACGTTATATTTAATATTAATCTAAGAATAGTTATTATCATTACTCAGTTAAGATTATAAAACTCTAAGAAAACTTACAAAATGTGAAAATAAGTACAATCACACTCAATAAGGTTATGTATCTAGGGTCATTTAATATCGGCTCTGTATGAATTTTTTCCTTGATAACTTCTGATTCAGATTCCATAATGTCTTATAATATTATTTAATTTAAAGAAATTCAACTTTTGCAAATACAATATGTTTAGTATTTCACTTAAATGACGTTGCGGGAGCGTGACAATAACAATGACGTGACGTGACAAAACAATTGACAAAAGTGAAATAGTGTCAAATGAAAATGACGTTAACATTTTCGTTTAGAAATACTGTTCCTTCCAGGTTTGCTCATTACATCATAGGTAGCTCCATACGTGTGTCTGCTAAATTATTATAAATTATTAATTAGTATTAAATAACTTCTTGAATCTGATTTTTAGTGCGCCTTGTTTTGACAATAATAGTTATGGTTAATATTTCTTTTAATCGGATTAAAAAAATACAAGCACGACAAATCATCGCTTAAAAACTCTTTGATGCAAAACTAGACGACGACATTGATATTTTATTTGTCAGTGTTATCTACCCGTTATCGCTAATATTTGTAATCGTAAATAGTATTATAAATTGTTTTATGAGCATTTATTTAAGTCTACATATCTCGTATCTGATAAAGTACTCATTCGCTACGGAACGATTTGACTTCAGCTAACAATAGCAACTTTAGAGTAGCAGTTAAATAATTGTTACATGGGAATTGTAATTTAAAAATTCCTTGATGCAAACAACTTAATTACCATATAATTATAAAAAGTACCAACTCTTACAATCGTTTTCTCAATCGCATGGGTTTGATTCGTCTGCGAAACTTAGTAAGGAGTAAAGAAATACTTTTACGCAATATGAGTATCGACATTGGAGGTATTTTGATTTTTTTATTTTAACTTTTTACATCCTAATTTTATTTTCCTAATCAAGGTCTACCTTTTTAGGTATGAGAATTAAATATAAAGATAAGGATGACACATTCTTGGAGAAACATTTAGTGGCTAAAGAACCATTTGGACAATTTAAAGCATGGTTTGATGAAGCATGTGGTAGAAAAGAAATTTTGGAACCCAATGCTATGTGTTTGGCCACTGTGTCAAAGTATGTTATCCAACATTATACACTTCTTATACTAAAATAATAATAATAATATGAATATATGTATATTTGCAGAGATGGATATCCATCAGCAAGATTCATGTTATGCAAAGGTTATGGTAAAGATGGATTTAAGTTTTTCACAAATCATGGCAGCAGAAAAGCTATAGAGATGGTAAGTTCTACCTTTGTACACATGTATATAATACTTTAGGAACTTTTTTTTTATTAACATTAGGATGTTTGCTTTAAAAGAATTTCATGTTTTCTGCATATAAATTTATAATAAATAAAATTTCAGAGTGCAAATCAGAATGTAGCTGCTACATTTTACTGGGAGGTCTTAAATAGATCTGTACGAATTGAAGGTTATGTAGATAAGCTGTCTGAAGAAGAATCTACTAAATATTTCCATTCAAGACCAGTACCAAGTCAAATTGCAGCTTGTGCTAGTTACCAAAGCACACCGATTGAATCCAGGGATATTCTATGTGAAAGAGAGAGAAAATTAGAGGCTGAGTACATGATACCAGAGAAAGAAATTCCTAAGCCGAGTTATTGGTGACTATATTTCTTTTTCAATTATTTTTTTGCCTTCATAGATATGTTACATTATCAAATTGGTCCAGATTAGAAAAATGTGTTGTAAAAAAGTATGTTGATTTTGTAAGGATCAAAATACTTTTCTTTACAATTATTTTAATTGTAGGGAATATTTAAAAAATTATCAAATTAAATTAGATTTTATTTACAGGGGTGGTTACATAATACGACCGAGAGCTGTAGAGTTTTGGCAAGGTCAGCGGGATCGTCTGCATGATAGAATTAAATTCAGAAAACCAGCAGAAGGGGAAGTAGTTGATGGAAAATTGCTTCATCAAGGGGATGACGGTTGGGTCTATCAGAGATTATCACCATAAATTAGATATGAAAAAGAGGTAATTATAATATAAAAATATATTTCAATGTCTTCCATTTTTACAACAATGCATTAATTTACTTTATTTTACATAATAAAACAAAGGTCACAAAATTGTTATGTTTTTGTTATATTAAAATCATAATTTAATTTTTTAAATAAAACTCATGCACTTCTATATTCTTTTTATTTTTAAAATTTCCCTCTGTATGCCACCAGTACTTTTCCATGCAACTTCGCTATTTATTAAACTAGTCTTTTGTATGTGTGTTTCAAACTGTCTCATTCCTCCGCCAACACCAAAGTAACATGTTTTAGCTGCTACATAAGCGCTACCATCTTTGCTTAGCCTATTTAAAAATATGTTAGTAAGTTTCTCATAGTTTTTCTCATTATAAATTGTTTCTGATGTTAAAATTATATCATAAACAGCAGTGTCTGGTAGTTTCTTATCAAATGATGCCCAGTCTCCGGAATAAAATTTGCATTTTTTTATTACTTCTTCTCTTTGTTCATTTTCAATGTTTAGAAGCACACTTGGTATTGTAACACACTCTATTATTTCCTTGTTCTGTAATATAAAGAAAATATTTATGTTACTGAAATACATTATGTAAAACAACTCATTAACTTGCTCATTTCCACATAATCATCTGATGAAACAATAAACTTGTAAGCAGGAATGTGTTAATTTACAGTAATTTTTCATTTCACTGCTTTTAGTTTTATATTATATGTATGTTTCAAACAGCATAATTCTTCCATTAACACAAAAGTAAGAGATAAAAGTAAAGTAATACATTTCAATCAAAAAATAAATTAACAAAATTGATCCTAAGACTATTTAGTACTTACATAATCTTGAAATGTTACTATTGAGTCATTTTGTAATGCATATATACCTAGGATGCCCACTCCACATCCTAGATCTAGTACTTTTGCTCCTTTAAAATTGATATCAGTGTTTTCTAGCAAGTATTTTAAAATGTCACTTGTACATTCCCATACTTTAAGACCTCCTAAAATACAAAAACAGCAAGAGTAGTAATAATTGCATATTGTATAAGCAATAAGACTTGCTTATGTAAAATGTGATAAACAAGGTTCATAAATGTAAATAAATTATTAGCATGGCAATAAAATAAGGTATCTATGTCACCAGAATTCTTTTGACTGCTGATCATACTGTCTAAAGAAAAGATTTTTACTCTATCTTGTATTTTTTTTTGTTTAAATGCTAAGTAAAAATTAAATGTACCAAACCTTCATATTTGCCAGCGATTAAATCACTGTGTTCCTTATCAGCTAATTCCAATGCATTTAATTCATAATCTCCACTAGAAAATAATTTATCACAGCTACTAACATGTCCTATTTCAATATCTTCACATACAAACATCTTTGCATGAACCACTATATTATCTAAATCATTTATTTGTTTGTCTGGTATAATTTCTTCACATTCAAACCAATTGATTTCTTCACGTTTATCTGTAATATAGTTATTTAGAACAAATTAAAGCAAACTGTTTTGTTAAATAATTTTAATATGGAATGGTTATGGAATTTCGTTTATTTTTATGTATAGAGTGGTGAAAACATTTAAAGTGATGATGGCTCATCAACTACAGCCACATTTAGAACCAAATTACGAATTAAAAATGGGAACCATATTAATACTACCATTTAAAGATCTGTCACTAACTTTCTTTGGGTGATTTAAAAATTTATCTGCATAAGAAAATGTTTGACTATAACCTACAGTGCACGTTTATGTTTGTATTTGCTTACTCTCTATAAAAATGTCCATTCCTTAAAAAAATGCATTATTACCCTCTGTTTCTTCATTATCCGTATTATCCAAAAAATTAAATTTAAAAGTAGACATTTTTGGAAATTATCATTTAATTTAAATTAACAAAGTGGTGATAGATTCCAATTTTGTACGTAATCATAAACGGCGGGCCAAAACATGTCAAATGTCACTTTGACAATTGACATTTTTTTTTATGACCTGGTAACATAGACCTTTAGGTCATATCTTATTTGACAATTGACATTGACTCGGACAACAAAGATTGTATAAAAATGTGGTGGCTAAGAGAAAATTACTATAATTGTAATTTGTGAGATTTTACGTTTGAAAACAATTCAGTTATTTAGAAATTGAAGCAGTTATTTCAAAAAGAAGTTTTAAGGTTGTTATTTAGTAATTATAATTGGTTAATTGTACAAAGATAAGATGATGCATGTATCTGAAGGAAAACAAACCTAAAACAATTCTACTTTGCTTCATACTTCAGTGGCTTGTTCCTATTGAAAGAGCGACATGTTAAAATTACGACTAGAGTGCAGGGAGATAAGGGAGCTAAACCTGATAGACCTTGCACATTTAAATATAATAATGACATTAGTAGTATTTGCTACTTGGAAAGAAAGTGTACATAATTAAATTTAGGAAATATTGATATGTAATATTTCTTATAATGTTGTTTCGTCCAATCTTTTAAATAAACAACATAATAATCAGTAGAAATTATGTTTATAACCAACATGTTGTATGCAAACTTCATTAGTATTTTATGTCAAACAATACTCATAAAATATTTTGAAAGACATTTAAAAAAAATTAAAAAGTATGTGAACAATCTTACTGTCACCGATTGCGCTTAATTTTAATTAAAATGGAAAATAATAGTACTTTAGAAAAAATCTTAGACGTGGTAGGATATTTCTTTCTTTTGCTATATTAATAGTTACAGAACGTTTCAATATAAACTGTGAACGCATCCGATTTGTACACTTATTCATTCATTCAAGCGCACACCGAATTGTAGAACTTATAAGTAAAGAAGTTTCGTGAATTTCAATTTACGTTATAAGTTAAGGGATTTAAGTATACTTGGTCCCAATTATACATCTTAAAATAATGACAGACGTTACGAAAAAGGTAATCCGTATACCTACATTATATTGTTATTTTCCTTTAAATTTTGACACGAGTGGTGAACAGTGAAGTGAACGAGCAGGGAGCCGAACTTTGCGTTAAAGTATACGTCTAAAGTCTGTTAAAATTCTAGTTTTATAAATCATTTGATACGAATTACTATTTTAGATTAAGTTTTTGTGGTGACTTATAAATAAAAAGTAAAAGTCAACATAACCTCAATTGCGCAGCCATGGGCCTCGGCGAAGCCAGCGTTGTACGTGACGTTTCCTACAAATTGGTATAATAATTGTTTGAGTATCTCACGCCTTATGAAATGTTGTTTTTCAGGTCCAGGAATACAAAGACTCCTTGAAGCAAAAAGCTGAACACTTAATTATAAAAGGATTTCCAGAAAAGATAGTGCTGTTAAATGAGCTGTTAGAAACGTCAAACTTTCAAAATCGTGATTTAGCAGATGTGCATCAGGTAATGGCTTCTTCTTTTTTGATCATTTCGTTTTCTTTTTAGTATTCTTGACAAACTTAAACTATATATTGCCCGTGTTTGCAATAGTTGTATTCTGTAGGCGCCATTTAAATTGCTTATGAATGAATGTTTTCAACATAGCAACAAAGCCAGAGTAAAATTACCTTTATTGTATATTTTACGTAATATTTTAAATATGTTATGTCCTTATAAACTGGGATTTTTTTTTAACTTGTGCAGGAAATTAGGAAAATTTGGAATAAAATTAATAATCTGAGTAAAAAATAGAAAATTTATATTAAGATGTATATTTATTGTACTTAACTAAATTTTAACGAATATTTGCAATAATACTTCAATGCAGCCACGTTTTAAATATTTTGCTGTAAAAAAAATTAATATAATATTAATCTGTTTTAGGATTTAAACATTCCAGTTCCACAGCCAATATCTACATTGAATGAGCCAAATGCAAAGCGTCCAAGAGTAGATTCAACAGACACTTCCAGTAATTCAACAATAGATGGAACAAGAGTGTTTGCCTTGCCTAATGGAACAGTACCATGTAACAAACCGCTTAGTGATCTTATCCATTTAGTTAAGCCACACATCAGAGAATTGGTTGAGGATTCTAATTTGGTAAGTACATTTTAACAATCATTTTTTTTATTTTCACCAATAACCATAGATATTGTTAAAGTTGTTAGTTCACATTGAATAATATTTGAATTTGAAAAACTTAATACTTAGAATATAAATAGATAATTATTGAGCATGAGAATGTAAAAATGTTATAATATATTGAGCAAATTGATGATTTTTCAAAGCATACCGGACCCCATCTATCTAGATTGTCATTTCCTATTTAATATTCAATCCTACACTTTACACTTTCAATTATCTTCATCCTTAGACTGGTAATCATTTAAAAAAAATGATAGATTCCACCAATAATTAAAAGAAGAATATACAATATTCTAATTAATTTTTACTTATTTTAACAATTACAGCTGAAAATGTGGATCTCATTTATGATTCCCAAAATAGAGGATGGCAATAACTTTGGTGTATCAATACAAGAGGACACACTTGCTGAAATCCAATCTGTAGAGTCTGAGGCAGCAGCATTCTTTGACCAAATCTCTAGATATTTTATTTCAAGAGCAAAGATTGTGTCCAAAGTTGCCAAATATCCACATATTGAAGACTACAGAAGGGCAGTAAGAGTATGTATTACAATTCATTGTTATTTAATGAATACTACAATTTTATAATGCAGTTTCTAGTAAATTGTGTTGATAATGTGATTGTTTCTTTAATTCTAATCTAGTATACCTGTATAGCTGTCGACGTGATCCGTCCATGCAACAAAAAATTATTAGTAGTCTATGTGTTCTTACAGACTATGTTCTAAATCTATGCCTTATATCATAGAAATGCAGCTATACCGGAGATAACTTTTAACAAACATCCATCCATTAGTTAGATGTTATTGCTAGAATTGTAAAACCTAAATGGATGGATGGTTGGATGTTTGGTACATGCTTAATGTACAGTCAGCGTCATATAGATCGTCACAGACAAGATATGCAAATATATAGGTACAGCAAAAGTAATCAATTATATCGGTACAACAAAAGTCCTCAAAATAATAGATACATTCACCCTGCTCAAATACATCGGTACATACACAGCGTCAAATATATGAGTACATGCAAGATGCTCATAAATATCGTAGCAGCCACAGCGTCATAAGTAACGAAGCAGTCAAGGTGCGCAAAAATATCGGTACATTTGACAAAATTGAACTCTATATCTATATACTTGTGATACAATTTGGAATAAACTACTTCTGTTACATTCATTTGACACTTTGTATTAACATTATAGGTTGTCCGGAAAGTTCGTTCTGATTTTCGATATAAAGCTTACAATAGACTGTAGCTGAAGTGGATTCATTTTCGGATTTCCACCATTATCAAACGTCACAAAAATTTCTATATTGTGAATAATTTCATTTCATTGGTTGAGATAAAAACTTATTTTTAAAATTTTATCCAATAATAAAAGACGTTTTAGGTATAGAGTCGTACCAATATAATTTAAAAACATTTCCAAAAATGTAAGAGAACAGGGTTTCAATTTTCCTTATAAAGCGGCACGAACTTACTGGGCAATCCAATATTTTTCTTCTCCTGTCATAACGCTTAAATATAAAAGTTTGTCACGCCGAATATGACAGATACGTATTAACTAATATCAAATTTTGCCTTGTCACAATATATATAATACTAGATTGGCGCAGTATTCTAGTATGTTTGCCGTAATATGTAAGTTTACCGGTTCGAATCTCAGGCTACTTTTTTTTCATTTTATCAATCACGGGGTTATTTTTTCATAACCAGTAAAAATTTGGTAATGTAAAATTTTGCTCGACAATTTTTTTTTATAATTTTCGCTGTCGGGTAGAAAGAAATTTAAATAAAGTTAACAACAATTAGGTCAGACCATCGCGGGTGAAGTGAGTGGGCGGAGCGTGGATTGTCTTTGCGGGTTTTAAGAATGGTACGCGCGGAAACTATACGTACAAGTGTTATCTACATATGTGTGCGCGCCCACGCACACTGGAATGTTTATTGCAATCGACCAAAAATTTGATGTAGTTTGGATATTGACATTCAGTTTTTTTTCTTTGTTTCTTAAATATAATCAGTATCAGTAAAAGGTAAAAGTGTTATTTTTACAGGTACAAGTTTAACAAACATGAGTAATAAACAAATTACATGCCAATAGCATCGCTTTATCTCCTTCATTTTTGTTTGAAATAGAAAAGTACTTTAACGGTCAAACTCATTAGTCCAAGGCAATATCAAAAAGTACCTAATAACTACGGCGATAGAGTTTAATTACATGTGCTTCGATATTAAAATTAAAAAGTTTAAATATTAAAAAAAAATAGTGGCTTGGGATTTGAACCGCCGACCTTACGTACCAACGGCGGCGAACGGTAAGGCCACGAGACCAAACTAGCATATATGATGACAAACTTAAATTTGATGTTGGTTTTATCTACCTAATATCTGTCATCCGCGTCGAACACTTTTAGTAAATTTTGAAAAATGGTTTGATGCAAAGTGTCAAATGAATGTAACAGAAGTAGTTTATTCCAAATTGTATCACAAGTATATAGCGATAGAGTTCAATTTTGTCAAATGTACCGATATTTTTGCGCACCTTGACTGCTTCGTTACTTATGACGCTGTGGCTGCTACGATATTTATGAGCATCTTGCATGTACTCATATATTTGACGCTGTGTATGTACCGATGTATTTGAGCAGGGTGAATGTATCTATTATTTTGAGGACTTTTGTTGTACCGATATAATTGATTACTTTTGATGTACCTATATATTTGCATATCTTGTGTGTTACGATCTATATGACGCTGACTGTATGAATGGATCTGGAAGAAATTATTGCAAGAAACTTCACAATGTTTTAATTAAAAAAAAGACATATTATCACAAAAACCTCTATTTTTAATGAGAGAAATGTAAT